CACACACTAGTAAGAATAGCATCATTTAATGTATTTTAAAGATAACTATGATTTTAGATTAAAATGAAGAATCTACTCTGTACCAATTGCTACAGACTCTTGCTGTGTAATTTACTATAACGTTCGACATTACGTTTCAAGATTTTAAGTCTTCTAGTTTTTAATTGTGAGGTTACTCATAGGGAACCTGAGAAAATACTCCCCACCTGACCAAAAAAAAAAAGGGAGGGAGGTTATTTTTATTTATTTATTTTTTAAATTTTTTTTGTGTGTGTGTGTCCAGCAACGGATCGCAACCCTCAGTGTCGTGCCCATACTGGACCAGGACCAGGACCGGCAACGGGATCGCAACTCGGTGCTGCACCCGCACCTCGCTCAGCCAGTGAGCGGGAACCGGTCTGTATGTGGGATCCGAACCCTCGGCAGGAGCGCCGCCACACTCCCAAGCGGCACACTGTAGCAGTGCGCCACCGGGCCGGCCCGGGAGGGTATTTTTAAAAGCAGTTGGTGAATCTCAGTCGGAGATGTTTTTCTGAGGTACTGTAACAATAAAGTGACTAGAGATTAAATGAAAAAAATACAAATATGTTTTCCATGTAAGTTGCCAGTCTGGCATAGGGAGAGGAAGTCTGCTATAGAGGTCAAGGGCATCCATGGGCTTTGGAGTCAGACAGACCTGGTGACCTTGAGTCATCCGTTTATCAGTGAGTGCCCACTTCCTGACATGCTTACCAATATGGATTTCTAGATCTCTTTTCAGTCTCACAGGCGGAAAAAATACCCAGTATCTTCGTGTAGTTTTAGCTATCATCACTAACACAAAAAAGTTGAACTTTTTTTCATATGTTTAAAAGACATTTGTATTTCCTGTTCTATCAACTATAAAGAGACATTTCCTGTCTGTTGAACACAGATCCCAGGAAAGCTACTTACCATTTTACATTAGCATCGTCTTCAGACACCTCACATTCTAATTCCACTCTCTCCCCACAGTAAGCGTTTATATCTTCCAGCTGTTTGGTCACCATAATTGGAGGCTCTAGTGTGAAATTGGTCACCATAATTGGAGGCTCTAATGTGAAAAAGGGGGAAATAGAATCATTAAGTGTCCAAAGCCTGCCTCATGAGTCTTGATTTGTTCACAAGTGAAAAAACCAACAGTAAGAAAGTATCATTGATGGTTCACATGGTGGTAGAGAGTAGGGAAGTTGTTTATTTTTTTTTTGTCTGTCTGGACAAAATAAATAGCGGGCAACCCTGGGGAAGTTCTCCCAATNTTTTTTTTTTGTCTGTCTGGACAAAATAAATAGCGGGCAACCCTGGGGAAGTTCTCCCAATTTTCTGAGAACTCTCCAAATCAAAGAAATTATTGTTCTGGAGAGCAGCCAATGCATCAAATATCCTTCTTTTAGCAAATAAGCTATGAGGTGGTAGACATTTCTGATGAAGGAGATTGTATAAACACTAAAATTCTTTGATTCTGGTTCTGGATGGATGATAGAGATTTCTGAGTTGTCTGTAATCAGAGGGCCTCATGAAGAAAATAAGTGATATGTGGCTCCATTGTCACCTCCAGCTCTTTTCACAATGTCTTAGTAAATGATGGTCTTCAGTGTGCTTGGTGCCAACCACTGATACCCTCTGACTAATGAAGCTGGTTTCAGGAGAAACCTATTTGTGATCAGCTGATTGTGTGAAATGAGGATTATCCAGTTAAGTTCATTGGGCTTCAGAAGCTATACCTAGAACAGTTATTCTGCAGAATAATACTTAGCTTGAGACAAAACCACGAGGTATTTTTGCTCAGCAGCTTTTTTCTCCCCTTGGATTTTCTAGTCTTCAACAAACTTGAAGACTAATTAAGATACACAATATCTGCTCTAGAGATGCTATTACCTCTGCCCTGGTAATGAGGAGCTCACCTCGTCATTTTCATTTTGATCAATACCCCTTGGAGATGCAGAGCCATTGGCTCTTGAAGACTGCAGTAAGGGATTTCATTTTACCTCTTACGAAGAGCTCAGTGGAACACTTCTCATCACCAGCTGTCACATAATACTCTGAATCATCTGTCAGTGCACAGTTATTGATAAACATGATTCTTTGGCAACCTTTGTGTTCAAAGATGTATCTGTTTTAAGCAGGAGGAAGATAAACAGAGCCCGTGAACTTGATTGGATTCTTTTCTTTATTGCCAGCAAATGTGGCATATAATTGG